TCCAGTCTCTCGTCTGGCCTAACCCCCTCCTCACTGCCTTATTGTCCCTCCCTCCCAGCTCCATGTCTCTCTGGGAGGAAGTGACCAGCTGTCACTTCCTCACAGGCTGTTGATGAGCAAAGGGCTCAGTCGCACTGTTAAAGGGTCACAGTGCCTAACGGGGCCCCTGCTAACACACGCCCACACTATATATATATATATATATATAAATCTATATCTATATATATACACACAGTATCTCACAAAAGTGAGTACACCCCTCACATTTTTGTAAATATTTTATTATATCTTTTCATGTGACAACACTGAAGAAATGACACTCCTTGAATTTAATTTATTTTTTTTGCAGGGAAACCGCTATTTTAATAACAATAACCTATTGACATGGCATTACATTTCTTTTCACAGTATGCTTAAAATGCAATCTAACAGCATAACAATAAGGGCTCGCTACATACTTAAAAGGGAACTATTCATGCCATATACCAATACATAGCAACATGTCAAGGTCTGATAATTGCCAATTTTTATACAACTGGAATTATTCACTGATTTAGATTCAAATCATGTTATTGAAGTGGTTACATTGAAATACAATTAGCAAAAGGCAAATGCTTGGAATCCTTATATTTACTTGTGCAATACTCATTGACTCTCTGAAATAAATCAACTGTACGACAACATATTGGGAATTAGCAAAACACAACTAGTTATGATTTACACTGATTTGATACTTCAAACTGAAAAATAATCACTACACATTTTTAACACTGCTCTCTGATTTCCTTTTAATACTATCGTTCGTCATTGGTCAAAATGAGCTCCTATTAAAAATAAATAATAATAGCAAAAGTGTTAGAAGACCCAAGGGAGAGAGCGCAGGCAGGGTACTTGTCCTTGCCAAACAGGTTGGGAGTCGTTTCAAAGTGATCGAAATGCCATGGACAAGAGTCGGGTCTCAGCCTCCCCTGATTCTTATTTGGTAAACAGAGGATTTACCAAATTAGACGTGGCCACTGAGCTGAAAGCCTGCTAGTGGTTGGCATTTTTCAAGGTAAAAGGAATTTTGGAGGATGAGGAAGTGTCAGTATATTTATATCGGCAGACGTTTTGTGCTAAGACAGAAATTAAAAGTGTATATTGCCAGTCACACTTAGAACAGAGCTGATTCCATTTTGTATTTTCAGGCAAGACAGACACAGAATTTCATATATTTTTATATATATATATATATATATATACACACTATCCACTTATATTTGCTGTTATAATTAATTACATATAATCAGTATTATGTTACTAATATAGACTATTCATTGAGAAATATCAATGAAAAATATCATATTATTTAATAAGTTAGTGGAATAGAAAAATAATCTTACACACAGCTTCACAAAAGAACCAGACACCAGTAACAGATAACACTTAGTAATTAATTTTACTTTCTAAATCTTACAAAGTCCCATTGTAAGAAAAAGGATGAAATTAAGGTTAGGAGGTGTCAATTCTAAATTACGATTGGAATTGCCTACGCTCTGTCTGGGGTAAGCCTTTGAAATTGGCAGCAAAATTTAGTTATGCAGTCATAAAATAGATAAGTAAATTACGTCAAAATCATCATTGATTTAAGTTAACCCATTCTGCATAATGTCAAATGGACCCCATGACAAGAAATGTTGGTGATGTAATTGCGCCATCTACTGACCAACATCTAGATGATAGTCTGTAGGGTAGACACACCTACAGTTCCCTATTGGCCCTATTAACTAATGATATGCAGAGAGTTTGGCCCTTTAAAAAGTAAGGACAAAGGAAAGAGAGGGAGATTCGGAGATGGAGATTCGAATTTAACACTCTGGGACTGACACTCAAATCTGACATTCAAAGACTCATACTCTTTGACCACATTCAAACTCTCTTTGATACAACTTAAGAAACACTTTCTTGGACACTTAAAATTTTTACTATTACTTTCTAACCAACACCACTTTTCCATTACATAAAATCCTTTATACATCAATCATACTTGAATTCAAGTTCCTGGAACTATCTACTCATCTGATAAGAGCATCTACAACATAACTGGTAATTATGCTGGTTTTATTTAATTAATATAAATTAATAAAAAAAAATTACCAATAGAAGGAATATATATTTATGGATAAATCTCGGTCAGATTTTAATCATTAGAAATCTTAGTTAGCTAAGAATATATGGTTATAAAAATTCCATTCCTATATTTTCATAAAGAAAATGTGATCACTGTGTGAGGTAAAATCCTCTGATGATTTGCTCTAGGATCTAAGAGAATTAAAAATCGTGAGTAATTCTCAGCTTTACATTATCAGTTTTTGGAGTACAGTGCCAAGAGATCAATTTTGAAATATTATTTTAAATTTATTACCCTATTAATATCCTTACAGAGAAGGCAAGAATCTTTTTTTCTCATAGTTATCGGGTCTGTATGTTTGGCAAGGATATTAATTAAAGTTTGAATAGAATAATGTAGGTCAGGGCACAGCGGGTGGTTTCTTCAGTATGGAGCTTTATAATAAAGTGCAGAACAAAAAAATTTCGGCTTCTTGGAGCCTTTGTCAAAGACATGACAAAGGCTCCAAAGAGCCTAAACGTTGTTTTTGTTCTGAACTTTTTTTTTTTTCAGGTGTGCTCTAATCTACATTGTTCTATTGAATGTTTCCTGGGTTTGTGGCCCTGCCTGTCTGGAGCATCACGATGGGACATCATGGTTATCCTCTCTACCTTTGCAGTTAAAGTGTGTTCTAATTATTTGTTAATTTATGTGTTAAGTTATTAAAAAATTATTTATACATTTATAAGGATTGTAATTATATAAATTGTGTTATATAGCATTTGTTATATGTTTAACAAATGCTGTGGCCTGTTTTCATCCAAAATATTGTGTCTGGGCTGGATTAGTGGTAGGAAAATGTGATATTGTGATGGGGCATCCCAATTCCCACTATGTACATACAAAACAATGTGCAGATCAATTTGTGCAACAAGAAAATAGCCACTCTGTACTTTTATAAGTGGGCACAGGACATTCTTGAGAAATCTCAATGTATCCTTCCTGGTAAAATAATTTTAGTATGGAGTTGCACATGTTGGTTTGAAGGTATTAGAAAGAGTTGTAATTTGCCCACTGCAACTCTAGCTAAGATGAGGAATGAAATTTAATATATTCACATTTGCTAGAAATTTGGTAAACACAAATAATGGATCAAATAAATTATTGTCATTAGGAGAACTTGTCACCACATCTTCTTTTGATGAGTCTTACAAGCCAGGGCCGCCATCAGAAATTTTGGGGCCCCTGACAAAGCACAAGGACTGCCCCCCTCCTCTCGGCCCCTCCTTCCCTCCCCCCGGGCCCGCCCACTCCCTACCTAGTCCGCTCAGTGATGCAGGACTGAATGTGGTGTGTATAGTGGAAGTGAATTAGAATGTGTGTAATTCTAATGTGTGTAGATACTGTTTGTGCAGTGAATGCAGAGTGTGTGTTTGTGTAGTGGATGCAGTGTGTATAGTGAACGCAGAGTGTGTTTGAGTAGTGGATGTAGTGTGTGTACAGTGATGTAGTGTGTGTTTGTGTAGTGGATGTAGTGTTTGTGTGTACTAGATGAAATCTATTTAGTGGATGCAGTGTCTGTAGTGGATATAGTGTGTGTATTAGATGTAGAGTCTGTGTATAGTGAATGCAGAGTGTTTCAATTTGTGGTGGATGCAGTGTGTGTACTGTGAATACAGTATGATTGTGTAATGGATGCTGTGTGTACAGTTAATGCAGAGTGTATATTAGTGTAGTGAATACAGAGTGTGTGTCAGTATAGTAAATGCAGAGTGTGTGTCAGTATAGTGAATGCATAGTGTGTGCATAGTTTAGTGAATGCAGAGTGTGTGTTAGTGTGTAATGAATGCAGAGCATGTGTTAGTGTGTAGTGAATGCAGAATGTGTCAGCGTAATGAATGTAGTGTGTGTGTTAGTGTGTAGTGAATGCAGAGTGTGTGTAAATGTGTAGTGAATGTAGAGTGTGTGTTAATGTGTAGCAAATGCAGAGTGTGTGTAAATGTGTAGTGAATGTAGAGTGTGTGTTAATGTGTAGCAAATGCAGAGTGTGTGTTAATGTGTAGCGGATGCAGAGTATTTGTTAGTGTAGTGAATGCAGAGTGTGTTAATGTGTAGCGAATGCAGAATGTGTGTCAGTGTAGTGGATGCAGAGTGTGTGTTAATGTGTAGTGAATGCAGAGTGTGTGTCAGTGTAGTGAATGTAGAGAGTGTGTTAATGTGTAGTGAATGCAGAGTGTGTGTCAGTATAGTGAATGCAGAGTTTGTGACAGTGTAATGAATGCAGAGTGTGTGTTAGTGTAGTGAATGCAGAGAGAGTGTTATTGTGTAGTGAATGCAGAGTGTGTTAATGTGTAGTGAATGCAGAGTGTGTGTCAGTATAGTGAATGCAGAGTTTGTGTCAGTGTAGTGAATGCAGAGTGTGTGTTAGTGTAGTGAATGCAGAGAGAGTGTTATTGTGTAGTGAATGCAGAGTGTGTGTTAGTGTGTAGTGAATGCAGAGTGTGTGTTAGTGTAGTGAATGCAGAGTGTATTGTAAAAGTGTATGCAGTGTGTGTGTTGTGTTAGTGTATGCAGAGTGTGTGTTGTGTTAGTGTATGCAGTGTGTGTGTTGTGTTAGTGTGTGTGTGTTGTGTTAGTGTATGCAGTGTGTGTGTTGTGTTAGTGTGTGTGTGTTGTCTTAGTGTATGCAGGGTGTGTGTTGTGTTAGTGTATGTAGTGTGTGTGTTGTGTTAGTGCATGCAGTGTGTGTGTAAATGTGCAATTTGGGGGTGGGAGAGGAGGAAGGGGCATTTTCACAGTAATTTTCTATTAAATTTAATTAAATGTTTCTCTCCCCTCTCTGCTTCTTACCTGTGTCCAGAGTTTCATTCCTTGGTGGTCCGGTGACATGGGGGGCCCCCGCTCCCTGTTACCGCAGAGGGGGCCCAGCACGCTGCCTGTTCTCCTCTCTTCTCTCTTCTAATAACTCTCGCGAGACCAGCGGCCTGTGTGCCACGTGGAGCATTGCCATGGTGGGTCTCGCAAGAGTTATTAGAGGAGAGAAGAGAGGAGAACAGGCAGTGTGTTGGGCCCCCTCTGCAGTAACAGGGAGCCGGGGCCCTGTGGCTGCACACATACTTAGCGATATTCGCTATCTATGTGTGCAGTGAGTGAAAGTGGGGCCCGGGACTGCCAGAGCAGTCCGGGGCCCCCAGGACCGCCGGTTCTGTGACAACCATCATGGTTGTCACCCCCTGATGGCGGCCCTGTTACAAGCAACCATATTTTGATAGCACTCTTTTCCACAGAACTTGTATTCCCAAACATATTCTTATATATTCCACCATATGTAACCCTTCACACTTTGTGTAACACAAGAATACTGATATCTTCAACACTCTGCACCACCGACTCCATCTCATCTTCCTTGTAACCTTGATCTACATGATTCTGATCTTTCATAGTTTTCCTCTTCCATTCACAGTGCTCTTTTAGTGTCTTTTTCTGTGGCACATCCTTTTCCTCTCTTCTTCTTCTTTCTTTTCTTTCCGAGTCATTTCTCACTTGTGGGTTTACAGAGGAAGAAGTTATATTTCAGCCGTCAAACGTAAAATCAAAGAAGCTTATGGGGCCTGATGGGATACACACAAAGTTATTATAAGAATTCAGTGATGTACTAGAAAAACCGTCAGCTGATTTATTTACCCAATCATTATTAATGGGGGTAGTCCCAGAAGATTGGAAATTAGCGAATGTTGTACCCATTTACAAAAAAAGGTAGAAGGAAGGAGCAACTACAGGCCAGTAAGGCTTACTTCAGGATTGGGGAAAGTGATGGAAACCATGTTAACGGATAGGTTTGTTAAACATCTAAAATCACCTGGATTTCAAGATCAGAGACAACATGGTTTTACTTCAGGGCGATCATGCCAAACTAGTCTAATTGATTATTGATTGATTTTGGGCTCCAAAACTGGTTCATGGATTGCAGGTTAAAACTTACCAGGAAAGGTTAAAGGATCTTAAAGGGATAGTGTAGTGCCAAGAATACAAAGCTTCCCTTGCCTCTCCCCTCTCTCGCGCCCCCCTCCCCAATAAATAAAGGGTTAAACAATATGCGCAGCAAATGCCGCACGCGCATAAGGCCTCCCCATAACATTGAATCAATGCTTTCCTATGGGGAAAAATCTAATGCTGGAGGTCTTCACGCTGGTCTTCACGCTGAGCATGAGGATATAATGCGTCAGATACCGGAGGTCCGTTTCAATTCACGAAGCCCTCTATTGGCTGAGGGTAGACTTAGAGCTGCAATGAAAACATTACAGTTTCTATGGAACTGCAAAGTTTTACAGTTCAGCACTAAGTGAAAAAGGTACAGTGCACATAGACCACTTTAGTTAGCTGAAGTGGTTTGGGTGCCTACAGTGTCCCTTTAACATGTATAGCTTGGAGGAAAGAGGAGACAGGGGGATATGATAGAAACATTTAAATACATAAAGGGAATCAACCAAGTAAATGAGGAGACTATATTTAAAAGAAGAAAAACTACCACAACAAGAGGACATCATCTTAACTTAGATGGGCAAAGGTTTAAAAATAATATCAGGAAGTAGTACTTTACAGAGAGGATAGTGGACACATGGAATAGTGGTAGTGGACACAGCTGAAGTAGTAGAGGTTAGCACAGTGAGGGAGTTTAAGCATGCGTGGGACTGGCTTAAGGTTATCCTAGATATAAGAGACTAATGCAAGTATTAAGAAAATTGGGCAGACTAGATGGGCCGTCAGTGGCGGATCCAGGGGGGGGGGCAACGTGGCAATTGCCCCCCCCCCGAGAAATCCGCCGGTCTCCCTCCCCTGTCAGCACATGCAGGTGCTAGCCCTGCAGTGTGCCTGCGGACCGGGGGGGAGATCAGAGATCTCCCTCCCCGGTCCGCAGGCACTGTGCTGACAGCCGGCAGGGGAGGGAGAGAGGACCCGGGAGCTCAGCCTGCAGCTCCTCCGGGTCCTCCTCTCGCGAGATTTGAAGCGTTGCCACGGTTACCACGGCAACGCTCCAAATCTCGCGAGAGTGAACTCTAGCCCTGGAGCGCTGACCACCTGACCACCTGACCACCAATGAATCCCCCACTGGGACCACCAGGGATCGAAATATGTCCACCCTCCTCCCCAGTAAAGGTAAGAAGGGAGGGGGGACATAGCATATTTATTTTAATTAAATTACAAAAAATATATATTATAAAAAAAAAGCCACACACACACACATTGCCCCCAATACTGCCCCCCCCATTCACACAAACTGCCCCTATACACACAAACTGCCCCCCATACACACATACTGCCCCCCCATACACACACTGCCCCATACACACACACTGCCCCCATACACACACACTGCCCCCATACACACATACTGCCCCCCACATACACACACCGCCCCCATACACACACACCGCCCTCCATACACACACACACCGTCCCCCATACACACATACCGCCCCCCATACACACATACACCGCCCCACATACACACACATCCCCACATACACACACTGCCCCCCCATACACACACACACCGTCCCCATATTGCACACAAACTGTCTCACACACACACAACCGTCTCCCCTATACACACAAATGCCCCTCATACACACATACCGTCTCCCCATACACACACACACTGCCCCTCATACACACACATACTGCCCCCATACACATACGTCCCCATACACACAAACTGCCCCCATACACACACAAACTGCCCCCATTCACAAAACTGCCCCTATACACACATACTGCCCCCATACACACACACACAGCCCCATACACACACACTACCCCCCATACACACACACCACCCACCATACACACACACTAGCCCCCATACAAACACACTGCCACCCCACATACACACACACCGCCCCCCCCCCACATACACACACACACACTGCCCCACATACACACACACTGCCCCCACATACACACACACACTGCACCCCACATACACACACACCGCCCCATACACACACACACTGCCCCACATACACACATCCCCACATACACACACACTCCCACCCCCCATACACACAAACCGCCCCTCATACACACACACTGTCCCCCATACACACACACTGCCCGCCATACACACAAACTGCCCCCTATACACACAAAATGCCCCTCATACACACAAAATGCCCCCACATACACACACTGCCCCCCATACACACACACACTGCCCCTATACACACAAACACACGCTGCTCCCCCATACACACATACTGCCCCCCATACACACACACTGCAACTGTTACACACACATACTGTCCCACACATACACTGCATCCCTGACATACACTGCCACCCTCACTCACACACTACAACCTTCACACACACACTGCACCCCTTACACATTGCACCACTCACACACACCACTGCTCCTATGCCCTACTACAGCCCCATTTCCCAGCAGATCTCAGGTAAGTTGTCAAACTGTTCTTAAACGGTTTGACTACTTACTGTGGGAGGGGGTCCCGGCACTATTGACACCATAACCACTACACTGAGCTGTAGTGGTTATTGTGTCTGGATTATTTCTTTAAATAATCTACAAGTGCCCCTCCCGAGATCAGGCTCTGGATCCGCCACTGTGGGCCGTTACATTCTATGTTTCTTTTGGCTTTTTTCAAGGCTCTGTCCTAGGAGCATTTCGGTTCTTACTTTGCATGTTCTCAATGGGTGACCGGATCAATTTTTTAAATTTTAAATACCTTTTCTATGCTGACTCCACAAAATTTACCTCTCTCATTCTGGCCTCTTGTCCTAATTCCCCCATGTCACCAGTTGCTTCTCCTTTAAATTCAAATGGATGACAGCACACTTTCTATAACTCAGTCTATCAAATACAGAATTTCTTGTCTTCCTTCAAGTGCTCAGTGGTGCAATCATTAAATCTACCCTGCCGTCCTGCTTCTTAGATGTTCTTTTTGATTCTGACCTTTCTTTTACACTCCACATTCAAACTGCAAATATTGCAACTTTAATCTTACAAATATAGCTTCTATCTGGTACTTCCTAATACCTGATGCATCCAATCGTACATACTCTTATAATCTCCTTTCTTTACTACTGCAGTATGCTCCTCACTGGTTTCACTGAGGCTCTGATCACTCCATTCAGGGCCAATCCTGGGCAGGTGCAAAGGGAGCATTGTGCCCAGGAACCAGTAAACTGAGGCAGAAGGGCGGGTGGAGGGGTGCCGAAATGAGCAGGCCAATGGCAAAGCTACAGGAGTCATAAGTGCAACTGGGTCTTTGTGTTCCTCTTGTCACGGGCCATGTTAGGGCCCCCCCAAATCAGGCACGTATTCACTAAGGCAGAGTAAGCGCTTGCTTACCTGGACAGCAGGTACCTACTGAAATATATTGGTGGGGAGAGAGGAGGCAGGCAGCGGTGAGGGAGAGCTGATGTTCTTGTTCTTCCAGTTCCTCACTGCTCCCTCGCACAATGCTGTGATGCCTGGAGCAGGAATATGTGGTCACTCTAGCCCTGGCATAGCTAAAAGCATGTGAGGGAGCAGTGAGGAATAGCAGGAAGATTACAGGAGCCACTAAATTCCATTTAAAATATGCCCACTGAACCCCAGGGAATATATTCCCACTGGACCCCAGGAAGGGAACCCACACCAGCTCTCCCAAAGGTACGGAGGTTGAATGGGCCTAACAATAACAACCACAATCAGTGTTGTATCCTGGTTTTGTGCTGCCCTAGGCAGGACAAAAAGTCAGACGCCCCCCTCCCCGCGCCACCCTTACCCAACCCTTCCCACCTGCCCCGCCTTCTAAATACACACACATTCACTGACAGATATGCATACACTAGCTAACAGAAACACACTTGCTAACTGAAACGCACACACACACTCACTAACAGACACACACACACTAACAGACACACACACCAACAAACACACACTAACAGACACACTCACACACCAACAGACACACTCACACAATCAGACACACACAGTCAGACACACACTAACACACACACTAACAGACACACACAGTCAGACACACACACACAGTCAGACACACACTAACACACACACTAACAGACACACACAGTCAGACACACACTAACACACACACACACACACACACTCACTCACATTAACACACTCACTTTCTTTTTTTTAATTTAACCCCCCCAGCCTCCTTACCTCTGGGAATGCTGGGTGGGGGGGGGGAGTTCTCTTTCTCCCTGGGGTCTAGTGTGGCTGCTGGGCGGGCGGCGCTGGCGAGGGAGCACTTTTCCCTGAGCTGTCTGCTCAGCTCCCTCGCACGCTGCAGAGTGATGCAGAGAATATGACGTCATATTCTGCGGCGCGCGAGGGAGCTGAGCAGACAGCTCACATGAAAGTGCTTTCTCGCCAGTGCAGCCTGACCAACTGCCCACCTGGCTTGTCAGTTAGCCGCAAGGCAGCTATTTTTGCTGCCCAAGGCAAATGCCTTGTTTGCCTCGCGGCTAAAATGTCCCGGACCACAATACATAAAATTAATCTGTGAGTTTGTGTGCAAGAATGTGTAAATATGTGTCTCTCAGTGAGTAAGTGTATATGTTAGTGTGTATCTGTCAGTGAGTGTGGCAATGAGAGTATGTGTCAGTGTGTCTTTCAGTGAGGGAGTATGTGTGTGATTGAGTGAGTGTGTCAGTGAGTGTGTGTATCTGCTAGTGAGTGTGTTTAAAATCAGTGAGAACGTGTCCATCAATTAGAGTGTATGTCAGTGTGTGTGTCTGTTAGTGAGTGTATGTTAGGACGATACTGTAGCCCAACATACAGAATTAAGTGAAACACGGAGAAAATACTACAATGGATAAAGATATTACCGGCCCTTATAATGGCCGGATTTAACATAGAAAGAATAGTTAGTAACAAGCTAAGGTCAGGACACAGACAGAAGCATAAACAAATAGACAAAGCAAAAAGTTCAAGGATATCAGAAATAGGAATAGTCAGGAATAAGCCAAGATCAAATAACCAGAAGACAAATTAAAGATTATGCTAGCTTTAGTGTACTAATAATCTTAATTTTAGTAATGCCAGGAGGTGAATATTTTACATAAACGTCCTTTATTTACTCCATATAGCAGCAAAGAATAGTTTCCCCCTGGAAGAATAAGGAAGGGGGAGCATGACTGCTGCCCAAGATTGGGGGCTGGGTTAAAATGGATACATTTGTGGTTCTTAAGGAAAGGGAGAGGGAGGGGACTTACCAGTCAGCAGGTTAAGTGAGGGCTCCTGGCTGTTTTTCTTACCTGACTGGCCCTGCAATTCGAGACGAACATTTAGACTTCTAAAAAATAAAAAAAATAAAAAATTGATTATCGCCTAAACGGCGCATTTTTACAGATACTGACAGTCAAATTGCAGCGGTTATGGCTGACACTGGAGCTGCTTTGCAGAGACTTCTGCAATCTTACCTGGAGACCCATGGATAAGGGGCCCTGGAGGAGCTGGTGTCGGGTGTGAGAAGTGTCCCCCAGGACGTAAGGGCTGGTCAGTCTGCATCCCGAGACGGACGGAGGGCCAGGAGATCGAGGCCTCCGTCGCGTCTTTCTCCGAGTCCAGTGCGGTGCCAGCAGAGGGGTAGAAGTGGCGGCTCGGCCGCGCAACAGATCCGGAGTTCGGTACCCGGGAGGAGGAGGATCCGTTTCTGTGAGGCCAGTGGCGATGTCCAGGACCAAGATGGCGGCGGAAGCCAGGTTGGAGAAAGGGCGGGAAGATCGCGCTCTCCGCGCTCTTCTCTTCCGGCCTGCACGGAAGTCGCGTCAGCACGCTCGGTGCGTGATGGGGGCGCGGCCGGAAGGATCGTCATCACGCAAGGAGCGTACGTGACGTCACCGCGCAGGAGAGCGCGGACGTCACAGGCCTTGAGTTCCAGCGTGGTTCCGGCAGGAAGTGAGCCGGAAACCACGCGAGAAGCGCCCAGGAGGGCAACCGGAAGGCGGAGAGGCCACAGGAGTGGCAGCAGCAGCACCCTGGAAGGAAGATTGCGGTCGGGCCTGGAGGCCGGCCGTGGATCACCCCTGGGATCGGGGTCCAGTTCCGGTTCGGATGATGGTGATGCCCAGCATCCTCAGCCAGCCAGCGGTAAGTGTTGCGCTAGCGCTTGGCATGCGCTAGCTGGGGATAGGGTAGATAGTGGGTTCAATGGGGAAGTACTGGGGTTGCTTAAAGGCTCCCAAGGGGGGGCCCTTTGTTGTCTGTCCCAGTTTCCCTCCCTGCGCAGGCCCATGCACAGGATAAGGGTCGGTTGAATGCCCGGTCAGGTAGGGCGCAGTGCTTGCCAGGTTGCGAGCTGTCCCCACTAGGGATGCACGTGGCTTTGGAGGTTAAGGAGAAGATTGTAAAAGGCGAATATGTAGATTTACTGTCGCTGGTCCCCCCGGACCGGGAGTCGGTAGATAGGCCGCGGCGGGGAGATTCGGTGGACGGCGACAGAGGTAAGCATCTGCCGCGTACGTTTGGGAACTGGCTGCAAGGGTTCTCCATCTTTGCCAGTGTGCTGACGCGGGCCTTCCCGGAGAAGGCACCGGTGTTGTTTGGGTATTTAGACCTCATATGGGGGGCGTACAAGGTTTATGGGGGAAAATGTTGGTTTCGGTATGACCAACAATTTCGCCAGAAGATGGCGGTGTGTTCAGGTATGGATTTTGGGGTCCAGGACGGGAGCCTTTGGCTCTTGCTGATGACCCCTAGTCATCCGTCCCCCTTTCCAGGAGCAGCCGGCGCGCCGTCCAGTGCGCCGGCCGGGCAGCGCAGGGGAGTCTGCTGCCTCTACAATGAGAGTCACTGCAAGTGGTTTGGATCATGCCGTTTCAAGCACGAGTGCTCTCATTGTGGAGGGGCCCACCCTGCGCTGCGCTGTTTCAAGAAGGGCAAGCATGGCGGGAGACCCACTAGGGAGGATCTCCCTAGAGGGGAGGACTCCAGTGAGCGTGCTAAGGATGCACCCTTGGCTCGACCGGTATCCCAAGCGTAAGGATGCGGGGGTTCTGCTGGAAGGGTTTTCAACAGGGTTTTGGATTCCGTTTGTTCATTCGGATTCCCCTTCCCTGGCGGATAACCTGCGTTCGGTTGTGGGTAAAGAGGCTATACTAGAGGATAAGTTGAGGAAGGAAGTTTGTTTGGGCAGGATGGCGGGTCCGTTTGACACGCCTCCATTTCCCAATTTGCGGGTCTCCCCGCTGGGGTTAGTGCCTAAGAAAGAGCCTGGATCCTTCCGTCTCATTCACCACTTGTCCTACCCCTCGGGTGGGTCGGTGAATGATGACATTGACAAGGAAGAATCACACGTTCGTTACGCCTCGTTTGATCGGGCTTTAGAGTTGGTCCGGGAGGCAGGGAAGGGAGCTCTGTTGGCGAAGTCGGACATCGAGTCCACCCGGACTGTTTTCACCTGTTGGGTTGTCGGTT